ATCTTTCTTTCCGCTGCCGCTTTCTGTACGCTGATTTGTTGAGACAAAATAATTAATTTCTCAAAAACTATTGCGAATATCGCAAAACGGCACAGGACTTTCTTGCTCACCTCAATCCGTTCTACGTTCTCACCAAGGGTCATCATGGGACTTCGGGACACCCTGTATACTTATTATACACATGTTTCTCGACACAGTTGACTAGCGATCTCACGATACAAGTGGAGGGGAAACCTATTTACGTTCACAAAGCTGTTCTGAAGATTCGCTGTCAATATTTCAGGGCCATGTTACAGGAGCCTTGGGCGGAAAACAATCAGAGGTAGGCATTCAAGTTCAGGAAAGACGCGCGCGCGCTGTTACCAGTCAGGCTCGATTATGAACAATCTTCGCTGTTCTTCTTCTTCCCGTAGCGTAATCGAGCATGATCAGTTCTCATTCGTCGTATACAAGGCTTTCCTGAACTATCTTTACACCGGCGAGGTCGACTTACCGCCAGAGAACGCATTAGGTGAGCTTAAGTCAATATCACACTCATATAAGTCAATATCACGTTATCGCGGTTATCACTCGTGCACGATCGGAGTAGCCGCCAATGTAAGCTCGCTGTTGCAGAGCTCTTGAATTTAGCTAACGTGTACTTCGAGAACCAGCTCAAGCGACGCTGTATTCAGATGATAAAGCAAAGGATTACTGTGTTGAACGTGGCCTCTCTTTACAGCACCGCGATCGAATATAATGCGCAAGTAAATATATACACTCTATACTTACGTTACGTATTTATGCGTTTTTCTCGCTTCGCGCGAGAGATCAATTCCGACTACTCGTCGAATCGATCTTCTCTGCGAATGAACGGATTCATAGGGACGTGCGTGCTGCGCGTCAAATGAATACAAAATTTGAAATCAAATGTTAATTTCCAGGAGCTGGAGGAGTTCTGTTTCAAGTTCGCCTTGAACCACATGACAGCTGTGATACAGACAGATAATTTCGCTAAGTTGGATGAAAAGACGATGAAGGCCTTCATCACCAAGGCCGCCAAGGCCGGCATTTTTAAGACTTAGTTCTTGTCCGTCGTGATCAACCAGTGACAGCGCGTTCGGACGAAAGAGAGTGTTGATCCGCTCCTCGCTGAACCCTTGTCGCATTCCCCGCCGCGCACTCGCGCCACACATTCGGTAGTCGAGTAAGTCCAAGTGAAGCGAGTCGCCCGTCGCTTCCTTACCCCTGCATTTCGCCGTTAGCATTTGCTGCGCGAGTGTCCGGCCACTTTTTCGAATACTAGTCTACGTTAGCGCATAGTCCGCGTGCGCGAGACGAACGAAACGCGCACGTGAAACTCGTTCGCCGATTTCCCTCAGTCGAGAAGAGGCTCCTCTGTATTCCGCGAGGTGATCCGAGATTATTCTCTAGATTATACTCTGGCTTTCGCGTTGATGCCGAGAGAAAAGGAAGTAGTCGATCGACATTACGGCTGAGAAAAATTTAGTCTCGCGCGTTGACGTTGCTGTGGTACCCCGTGAGATCATTCGGCCCACTTTGAATGATCTCTCGTGCGACAAAAAGGTACCGTATTTTTCCGTCTGTCACATCATTCCTAAACGGTAGCTTAATCACTTCGATATGTGCTATTAAACGAGTCGCGTTCTTCGGTCAGCAGACGAGATCTTCCCACGATTTCGTTTCTATCGGGCCGGCGGGCTCGCCGATCCGCATACCTTGCCGTAGCAGTGCATGTAATTGAACGTTAATAAAGTTTTATATCACTGTCCGATATTCGTGACGTTGTCGTTAACATTATTACTCCTGTCGCTTTTAATAAAGAGCGGAATAAATAAAGCTATAAATAAACAGTAGAAGACTGAGAGAGAGAGAAAGAGAGAGAGAGAGAGAGAGAGAGAGAGAGAGAGAGAGAGAGAGATGAGGGAGAGCTCGCATTGTGTTCGTTCGTACATCATTTTATTACGATATTCTCAGTATATACAAGCGATAAATTTTGTCGATCGTATAATACGTACGTATTCTACTGATTAATAATCATCATGATATTTAATATACATACATATATACTTTGTGAAACACGGGAACGGCCGACGTCGTTCCGCGCGACTCGGTGGATAAACTCCGATAAATCTGTACATATAACTTCTTCCGCCCGCGCGCGGTCCCCCTTCGTCGTCCTCCTGACCCCCGAGGTTGTCCGAGCCGCCGAAATACCGTCGGTCCTTCTTATTCCAAACCGTATATAGAAGTATACAAGATATATATATACGGAGCGTCCCTATTTTACAGTGGCCACCGCAAAACGTACACTCTGTGCACATATACGTATCTTTATCTTTTATTCATTTATTTAAATATATATATATATATATGTATATATATATTTATATATGTATAAGTAATTATTATTAAATTAGGTAATCGGTCGAGTTTGCGAATCGCCGACCGGAAACTCTCTTCTTCCGTGTTCACATCGACCAGCGCGTGCAACGGCGAGCGCGTCGTCTCATTACGATGCGAATGAAAATCGCACACGCATACATACTCTTTTCTCCTCTTCTCTCTTTCTCTCTCCCACTGTCTGGAGGGAGAGAGAGAAGGAGGGAGGGAGAGAGAAGTTCTACATTGTTGTGCGCGGTACTTCGATCGCTACGCGATAAACCTGACACGGAATTCTGCTCCCGTTCTCTGCTCGCAGTGATAACGCGGAGCGAACGAGATGAATTACACTTTGCGCGCCAGGGGCTTCATCACCGTTATTAACCGATCCGCCCATCGGAGATCGTCGTGCGTTATCGACGTTATCGCGACGGACACGCCCGGCGCACAACGCACGACGTAATACGGGCAATAAATCGGACTCTCTCTCCGCGAGAGCCAAGGAATCTCTACGCGGTTGCACGCGGTGGTTGTCGCCGATCGTTCTTCGATCGAGGGCGAGTCCGCGCCGCGTATCGCGCGCGTCGAAGACACGATCGGCCACCCTGGATTGCAGCTGGAACAACTCATCGATTCTCATTAGTTCATTAGCGTAGGATCGTTTCTTCTCCTCTCTCCTCTTTTCTTTTTTTCTTTTTTTTTTTTTTTTTTTTTTTCTTCTTTTCTTTTGAATTAATTAGAGCGTATTTAGGCCTGCGGGCTACTTTTCTCCAGCGACGCGCTGTGGATCTCATCGACGACAAAAGTGAGACTTGTCCTCCCCGTCTTCTTCTTCTTTCCTTTCCTCTTCGACGTCTCTCGCGCGCGCGCGCGCGCGAATCGAATCGAATCCCCTCGTTAAATAAACTCGTGAGACAGAAAATCGAGAGAGAAAGAGAGAGGGAGAAAGATTACTGGTCTGTGCGTTAATTTTCTCTCTTTTACGCATTCACGTTATTCGTTTTTCAGCGTTCTCCACGACGTCCGGTCCCCCGAGTGCGCGACGGCGCGACCTGTCTCTATCGACGAGTCGTTTCTCGATAGAGCATCCGCGACTTGGACAAATCGTAGTCCCTCCACGTGACCCGCGCGCGTTCCGTACTTATATATTTGTTTTTTTTTTTTCTTTTATACACTTACTTAACGTGTTCATCTGCGTAGAAACAAGTATAGATTGTCCGCGAGGCGTGCTTTTCCGCCACGTTTTTGCCTTTTTGTCTCTTTTATTCTTATCTCCCCTTAATTTTCGTCTCTCCTCGTTATATTTCGTCTGCTCGCATCTTGTTTCGATTAGCTTTCTCTTTTTGTCTCTCTCTCTCTGTGCTTTCCTTCCTTCTCGTCCCCGTCGCCGCGCTTACGCGTATAACGAGAGAGATTCACGATGATTCTCATGGTGAAGCGATTTTGTGGGAGGGAGAGCTTACACAACGACACACAGCTGATAAACTTCGCGCTTATCTAGACGGATGGGCTGTGTGACGCCACGCACCTGTCCGAGATAGATAATCGCTATTTCGAGACCTCGCGCCTCCGTCTCTCTTTGTGTGTGCTCGTTTTTTTCTCTCTTCTTTTATGTTGCGCCAATGGATCGCCCGTGTTTACCGCGCCCTCGTCAAGAGGAGCTGGAGGGGAAGGGGGAGAGGGAGAAAAAAATCGCTCGACCATATCGTTTACGTAGATAACGCAGAAAACGCGCGCATGTAGACATCGGCGCGGATCCTGAGTGATTTATCGGGGATAGATCTCTCTCTTAGAGGGAAGGGGGGGGGGAGGAGGATGTTGAGAAGGAGATTTTTGCAGGTGCGAAGACCGAAAAGGAAGACCGATCTCTCTCGAGTTTCCCTTCTGCGCACCCCTTTTCCCTTGTCTTCTCCTTGTTTACCGAAATCCCGCTCGTCACGTCTGTCGTTCCCTTCTTTCGACTTGTCGGGAGGCGTCCGATATTGTTGCCTTTATTATATCGGAATTTTTGCCGCTATATCACTCTCCCCTAGTACCGTTAACAACGCTACTATTTTATTCATTATCGTTATAATTAGCGTTAGCATTATCATTATTATCGTTATCTCTTTATCGTTATTGTTATAATTATTATTATCGTTATCGTATCATCATCATCATCCTCACCATCGCCATCATCATCAGCAGCAACAGTAGCAGCAGTCGCCTCGTCCCGTTATCTCCTATCGCCGCTGTTAATCGTATCGTCGATACCGATCACCTGCTTCTTCTCGAGACTCTTATCGCTATTGCGCTATTATTATTCTTAATCTTATTATTATTATTTTAGCGTGATTAGAGCGTTTTGTGTCGCGTCTCCCTTAGCGTATGGTCGCCGCGCCGTCGCGCACCTTCGCAGGACAAAAAGGAGTAAAAATGACGCCTGTATGTCGGATGAGGGCTCGGGTCGACGACCGAGTTATCGATATTTTGCGCGGAGGACCGGCGTACTTCCTCTCTCCCCTCCCCTCCCCTCACTCTCTCTCTTTCTCTCTTTCTCTCTGCTTCTCACCCCTTTTTACTATACACGTGAAATCCCTGTACACGGAGTCTCGCGATTAACCCTAGAACACAGAAGGAGTGGCGGAACTTGGCGAGGACTCGGGTGACGGGAAAAAAATGATCGTCGTAAACTTAAATCGAGCGATCGTTGGAAAGGCGGTGGTTCCCCCGGAGGCTCTTCTAAAGAGATTACCTTCCGCAGGAGGAAGGAAAAGATCGGATCACGAAGGAGAGCGCTGTGAGGGAAAGAGTGAACACGAACGAGATCCCGAGGATCACTCCTGCGCGTCCCAGGGTTAACGACGCGATCGCTTCGACGCCATCGACGAGAAATGTACCGTGACTGTGAACTTTTCAAATACGATATTTCCATTTTTCCTTGAGGAAGCAAGGGAGGATCCTTTCGAGAGGAAAGTATCGCATACAACTTTGATAATCTGATAATCAGTTCCAACTCTCTTTCTGTTAATGAACCCTACACGAAGAGAATTTAACAGCAAATATTACTTTAGAGCTTTGTAACCGAGATCGACATTCTGCGGCAATTAACTGTCCCTTCATTTCGTATGCTAATTATACTTTAAGAGCTGACAAACGTGCTATTAAAAAATCTGTAGTTTTCCAGGTAAAAATTCGAATGAAACTTTCTATGTTCTTTTTCCTTCAGACAGACCTTATTTACTAACATAGTGCAATTGAACAGAATTTCAATATGAAACAAGAAACTACAATATATTCTCTCCGTGTTAATTTTGCATTTAGTAGTTTTGGAGTTATTTAATGTTTCACGATTATATATTTTTAACATTTTGTGACTAATTAATATATATATTTTTCTTTCTATCAATTAAATGATAAGCAAAGCTGCACTTCAAAAGAGCCGGACGATACTTGTCTCGTCGGTACCGTCAACTCGTCTCCCCCTCTTTCCTTTTCTTCCCCTTTTTACATATTTTCTCTACGGATATATCTTATAATTAATCACACCACTCAGCTTTTAATGGACCTTTCCTTTCTTTCTTTCTCACTCTCTCTCTCTCTCTCATTCTCCCTTTGTTGCTACATTACTTTTGATCGATCTCGACGATTTTCTCCGTGTCGTGCGACTTTGTCGTGGACGACGCGCGTCGCGGTGCTCATCGCGCGGGATTATCGTTTAGAGTCCTTTGTACAGACTTCTGATAAATCGTACCTATAACTTTTTGCCGTTTGTCTTATATGATAAACTTTTTTCTCAAACTGCGAAGCTAACTCTCTCTCTTTCTCTCTCTCTCTCTCTCTCTCTTGCATTCTCTTTCTTTCTTGCTCACACTCTCTCTCTCTCTCTCTCTCTCTCTCTCTCTCTCTCTCTCTCTCTCTCTCTCT